ATCTTTTAATGATGCTAGTAATAGTTTGATTTTACTCTCGACACCAAGAAGTCAAATAGCCTATCAGAGTTGTTGGTTGCTAAGACACGGGGTGTGGTGCGTTTCTATGTCAGCGTAAATTTATTTTATAGTTTGCAATCAGATATAGTTTCATATGAAACATGTGCATGTGATGGCTCTGCGTGTGGTAACGCAAGAGCATAAGCGGCATTGTGCGCAAAATAGCCTTCTTCTTCTTCTTCTTCTTCTTCTTCTTGTTATTTCAAAAAACAACTTACTTGTAAGAATATATTGGACATTTGTGCTGGTACAATTCTAAACGTTTATGTTTTGTGTTTTGCCATTTAATTTAAAATTAAAAGTAATTACTAAAACTGCAATGCTAGAAAAATCTTGATGACAAAAAAGTTGATGCAATTCTAAGTAACAAACCATTTTGTTCTAAATAATAGCCTAATTGTAATATACATATTTTAATAAATCATGGAAGATGAGGCATATAAGAATAAGTTAACAGGTAACTTTTTTATTTAATTTTTTTAAGGAATGTATTTGTTGTTGTTGTTTTAATGTTTAAAGAGTTGTCTTTAATCCATCCAGTATGGAAAGGAACAATGTGAGATATTAATGTGAGAGAAAACATTCATTTTAACTTATCTGGAGAAAAAAAAACAATTGTGTTTAATGACAGCCTTTTAGCTTTAAATTTTCACACTTCCTCTTCTTTGTCTTTTCATTGCAAATATTCCACTGAAACAGTTTAGCAAAACACACATGGAATGCCATGAGGGGATTGTATAGCACTGAAAAAAAAGAAAGAAAAAATGCAGGATATATAGCTGGTCAAATTTTTGTGAGTTTGTGAAATAAGTTAAGGAAAAATATGTGAAAGAGAGACAAGTAAAGAAGTGATGTTGGCAAGGTGAATACTTTCTTAGGTATAGTCTTTGAAAATAGGAAGGCAAGTGGATATCAGTGCAAAACACAAAGTTTAAGTTTAGAGAGTCTGCACTTCTGTGTTTTAAATAGGTTTAGTGAGCCTTGTCCTTTTACACAATTCTTCATACAATCTGCATATCCTGTAAGTTTTGTATGCCAATAAGTATAGTTTGCAACTTTATATTTATTGCATGTTCTCTATATTTTTATATGTATGCAGTGTGCCACTGTGTTTACACAGTTTTTATGGTTTCAACAGTATTTACACTTTAAAATTAAATCAACCTACAAGTGGCTTCTATGTGACACTGCATACTATGATGGCATGGCCGTAAATGAAAGTATTTTATTAAAGGAAAGCAAGTATTTTATTACTTAGTAAGGTTTTAGGTAAAGTTTTTCATTAAGCGTTAATCATTTTGCCTGGATACAGATTTCTGTATCCTGTTATCACTGTCTAGTCTAGTGTTCTCAAAGTTTAGTACGAACACCATCAGTGGTACACGGAGTGTCCTCAGGTGATACAACCGACGAAATGAAACATTTTAAAAGGTAATCTGAAATCAATTACAGATTTGAAAACAGTAATTTATTTATTTGTTTGTTTGATAATTTTTTGGGCGTCAGAAATATTTCAACAGCTGTACAAGCTGTGAAGGTACTATTGCAATGTCTTTTTTTACTGACACGGTACTACATAAAAAGTAGTCAGTTCATTCTTCTAGTCAATTCACTGTTTGCTGTCTTTTTTTAGGGCCTTGCATCTCTGCTGTGTTGAAGATTTGAGCTGTCACACTCTCTCTGTGCTGGGACATATCACTCGTGTCCACCACATGGCTTGCTGTCACTAATTTGCCATGGCAACGGTATCTCCAAACGACTGCCCCACCACGGCAGGACACTGTCGAGTGCGGAAGAGGAGAGTAGAGGGTAAAGTGAGGAAGAACTTCTCCTGTCAGTTGTGTGAGAAGGCCTTCAACAGCTTGGAGAAGCTGAAGGTACACTCGTACTCCCACACAGGGGAAAGGCCGTATCACTGCACACACACTGACTGCACCAAGGCCTTTGTCTCCAAGTATAAACTCTTACGGTAGGTACTTATACTTTCACAAACCATTCCATGGCCATCATATGTCTCTGATGCAAACCCACTGTTTTTATCTCAGTCAAAATTTTAAAATAGGTGAGTGGTCTGAAATCATATGATAATAGTTATTTTGCAAAATAAGGTGTTCATAGTTCAGTGGTCTTGGAACAACATTCTTACCTACATCTTAATCTTGACCATAAAAAGGATAGATCACTTAAAATGAAACATTCTCTCATTTACTCTCCCTCTTGTTGTTTCAAACGGTATTTCTGAAACTAAATGGGGTCGAAACCACATCACCAAACTTGTGGATAAACTGTCCTTTTAACTACCACAAGATTCAGAGGTAAATAAGTTTATTATATTGTTGAAGCCCTAATACCAATTTACTCCTAATATCAGAAGGTAATGATTGAAAGGTATGTTAAAGCCCCGAAAACTGCAATCCTAACTCCACCTCCTAAGCTAAAACCAAAAATCTGATTGACTGATTGATAAGAATATTGGTCACGTAACTTGATGGAATCTTATTAAGCAAGACCAGACATACTCAGGTTTGTTTGATAACATTTGGACATTAAAAGTTTCTAGTCTGGTCAATGTACGCTAATGTGTTTGTGTCCATAGGCACATGGCCACACACTCTCCAGAAAAGACACACAAGTGCAGCTACTGCGAGAAGATGTTCCACCGTAAAGATCACCTGAAGAACCACCTCCACACACACGACCCCAACAAGGAGGCTTTCATCTGCACAGAATGCGGCAAGAGCTACAATACCAAACTAGGCTTTCGAAGGCACCAAGCCCTTCACGCCGCACACCGTGGAGACCTCACCTGCCAGGTGTGTCTGCAGTCATACCCAAGCACGCCCCTACTGCTGGAGCACCTGCGTGGACATGCAGGGAAAAGCGCTACCGCAACTAAAGAAAAGCGACATCAGTGTGAGCACTGCGAAAGGCGTTTTTACACCCGTAAGGACGTGCGACGCCACTTGGTTGTGCATACAGGACGCAAGGATTTCCTTTGCCAGTACTGTGCTCAACGATTCGGCCGTAAGGACCACCTTACCCGGCATGTTAAGAAAAGCCACGCTCATGAGCTGCTGAGGGTTAAGGCAGAGCCCGTGGATTTGATGGAGTCACAATCCTCGCCAACACCTGGGCCTCTCTCTCTGAGGTATCCAATAGGTCATGCTTCTTACTCACCAACGCCGCCACTGAGGGCGGAGCTTGAAAGTTATCTCTTAGAGCTACAGGCTGAAGATACACCCAAGCTGAGTGCTGGTCAATGTACGCTAATGTGTTTGTGTCCATAGGCACATGGCCACACACTCTCCAGAAAAGACACACAAGTGCAGCTACTGCGAGAAGATGTTCCACCGTAAAGATCACCTGAAGAACCACCTCCACACACACGACCCCAACAAGGAGGCTTTCATCTGCACAGAATGCGGCAAGAGCTACAATACCAAACTAGGCTTTCGAAGGCACCAAGCCCTTCACGCCGCACACCGTGGAGACCTCACCTGCCAGGTGTGTCTGCAGTCATACCCAAGCACGCCCCTACTGCTGGAGCACCTGCGTGGACACGCAGGGAAAAGCGCTACCGCAACTAAAGAAAAGCGACATCAGTGTGAGCACTGCGAAAGGCGTTTTTACACCCGTAAGGACGTGCGACGCCACTTGGTTGTGCATACAGGACGCAAGGACTTCCTTTGCCAGTACTGTGCTCAACGATTCGGCCGTAAGGACCACCTTACCCGGCATGTTAAGAAAAGCCACGCTCATGAGCTGCTGAGGGTTAAGGCAGAGCCCGTAGATTTGATGGAGTCACAATCCTCGCCAACACCTGGGCCTCTCTCTCTGAGGTATCCAATAGGTCATGCTTCTTACTCACCAACGCCGCCACTGAGGGCGGAGCTTGAAAGTTATCTCTTAGAGCTACAGGCTGAAGATACACCCAAGCTGAGTGCTTCTGCAACGGTGACTGGAGAGACAACATCATCCCTGGACTTTCTGTCTCCATTGTTTAATTTTCTGCCTTACAACCAAGGGGCAGGGCCTACTTTGGGAGTGGCCTACAGCCAGGAGGAGGGGCTACTGACCACCCCCATGCAAGACACCCCAGACCCTCTTAGCCTCCTTCACACAATCACACATTCACACACACTGTCACAAACCAATGCACTCACTCCAAGTTATACACATCCACCATCTCTGAATACAACCACCACCCTGCCTCGCTTCCACCAAGCCTTCCAGTAACCCAAATACATTCACACACTTACAATTTTTGTAGCACTTATTAAAACACTCTTATGTTTATTATCAACTTAGCCCTTAATCAGATTCATACAAGCATAGAGTCTCTGAAATCCCGCCAAGGCAACAATCTGTTTCCTTAAGCCAGTACCACATTTTTAAGGAAAGTCTTGAGGACAGTATCACACTTTTGATCATTCAAGAAGTTGAAAATGCAATACTTACTTTATTTTCTGTCTAGAGGTGTTTGGGCAATCATTTTAACAATGGAGGATGCCAATCACCTTACAAATAGAAGTGAACATTAAATACATGGTTATGTGATTTGTAAGAGCAGATTTCAGTTTGCAGTGACGTTTCACTCCCAAAATGCTGAAAGAGAAAGAGAGAGAGATTAACACTTTTAACTCATTAACACTTTAAACTTCTAGCAGTGTTGAAGTTCCATCAAAGCTAAAAGATGTTTTGTCTAATGTTGTTTCCATCTTGTTGTTTAATATATAGCTCATAAACTGTTGGGTACGGAACTACCACCGTTTTAGTGACTATGTCACACAACTATTTACAGCCAAAGGCAACCAAAACCTTCATATCTAAAAAAAATAATTATTATAATAAATAAATAAAAGGAAGGTTCATCTCTATGTTTTTTTTTTTTGATGGCTGTTTGCCATCATGCTGCTGCTCGTTGTAAGGGCCTCAAAGGATACCAGTGCAGGAATGCTTCACAATTCACATTAACAAAGGGAAAGAAAGACGAAGACTCTCTCTCTCACCCACATACACTCTCACATCCTATTACTCTCTTACTCCATTCAACCTCATCCACCAGAATGCTGGCTATTGCACTGATCAAAGCTGTCAATGAAAGAAACATTCATATCAGTTTTTGCTGTCTCGGTTTAAGCTCACAGCTTATATAACTCCAAAAGACAAAAATACAGTCTGTGACAGCTTATTGACAGAATATTGACTTCTCTACAGTTTACCTGAATATAAGCTGAGGATGTAGTTGATCTCGGTATCAAATCCATTGAAGTTTGTAATGAACATAAAGGTTATTCACATTGACAGTGATTTGCAAATCAACCATTTGCCATTTATTTTTAGTTAAGAGTTGGCAATTTGAGGCGACACAAGTGGCAGAGACCTCAATTTTATGCAAATGGCCAGTGAAGCAATGTGTTGGTTACTAAAGGAAGAGTGCAAACATATGATGAGATCACTCATATGATCTGTCACTGAATAAAGAAGTTGAGAAGAAATACCTGCTAGTAACCCACAGTACAGCAAGTGGTTGATCTCCAGCAATGTAACTGCCGTCAGTGTGAATGCATCTTCCTCTATAGACATCCTCTAGAGACGGATCTGTGTGTGTGTGTTTATAGGTATTTGGACAGAATGTTGGCTAAATGTCTGTTTGATGGGTTTTGATTTACTTCCTCGGAAGCTGAAGGATGTTAAAAGCTTAAACATTCAGAGAACCTCCATTTGGGGCATATATTTCATAATAGCACTTTCAGAAAAAAAAGAATATGCCTTTTTTGTGAAAGTAAATATTATAGATGTCATAAGTAGCTTTTAGAAGATTTTAAGCATACATACACAATGCTATATGTGTGATATTTTTACAGGTACACTTAATACAGTGTTTTTGTTATTGTTGTTTTGCTTTATTGCACAAAATATCTAATTGTCAGTGTCTCTCGATTGAGGCTTCAGCCAAACGAAGAAAAAAGGTCAATTCCAGCAAGATTCCTTTAGCAAGTACTTACGACATTTAAGGTTTCTGGTAGCTTCAGTATTGACAAAATTGTATAGATCTAGGTGGCCCGCTACCATGAGGTCATCTGAATGAGTCATGTCATTCATTTATATTGCTGCTGAATCATGGACTTATATTGTTAATCTATAGGATTACTCGAAAAGAAAACTTTATCATTGGGAGCCACAAACTCTCCTGTTCATTGTCATTGGTACAATCACAACACAGAGTGTGTGAGCGACACTCCTGCAATAAATCTGATGGATAATGCTGCTAATGGACAGTGTATAGCCCCTGGTGGTGCAACCGACTTTCTCTCCTCTTTTTACCCACAACATTTCCAATAATTAAATAAGCCCCTCACAGCAACTGAAATGTGAATGTTTACAGAATTTATTTTATGTTTAGGCAACACTATGGTCTTGATGTTGAATGAATATATATATATATATATATATATATCTTGTATTGGTCAGGACTAATTAAAAATTAAAACTGGCCAAGAACAAGATTTCTTCCCAAATTGCACATGTCATTTTTTGATTGTACCACAATGAATATACATCATATTCAATTTACAGGTGTGCTGAATGTCTTTTTAGGACCCGATCGTTAAGTACTGATTGGTGAGCAGGTGTGACAAATGCATTTTGGGTAAGATCTTGTCTTGCCCGTGTTATCAAAGCAATTTTAGGTAATTGTTTAAAATAGTTTCAGTTGTTGCAAGTTATGTCAGTTTGCTTTTGGTGTCTTATCTAAATCTCTGATCCATGTTCATGTCTAGTTGAAGACTTTTAAGATTTAACTCATTTTTATAAGCACATAGCTTTTATTATCGTATAATCATGACAACAGTTATTGACGTGACAAATGAGGACACCGTGTTAGTGGCTATGGAGTCAACTGCTTGTGAACCTCATCATGCAGCTCTACCTGAACTTTCTGGAGTTTCTTCCATAACATCACAGGTCATAAGATTGCAAGTACTAATGTCATGAACTCTTTAATAACATATTATATTGTTTTATGTATATAGTATAGTACTTTGTATGGTGTTTGATGTCTTTTGCTATGTGCAGAGTGAGACTGCTGAAATCTCTGAAAAACAGCAACTTCGAGTTTATTTGAAGGTGCGCCCTTTCAGTGAAGAGGAACTCAAAAGCAATGAAGATCAGGTGTTGTAGAACTTGGTGTAATGTTAATCAAGTTTTGTTTGCTTTAGGAAATGTTGGACTTCTAGGAACATTTTTTTTTTTTTTTCTTCCAGGGTTGTGTTGTATTGGAAGACTCTGAGACCATTGCCCTTCATGCTCCTAAAGGATCTGCCACCATGAAAAGCAGCGAGAAAGGAATTGGTCAACAGGTTTATAAATTTAGCTTTACCCAGGTACAATAGTATAAAAACCCAGAATTTGGACTAATCTTGATTCTACAGATGGTTTTATTTAATTTTTTTTTGTAATGAAATCCAGATCTTTGGACCAACATGCACTCAGGCAGAGTTTTTTGAAGGCACAATCAGTTCACAGGTGCATGACTTCATTCATGGGAAAAATGCATTGGTGTTCAGTTATGGTGTGACCAATGCTGGAAAAACATACACCGTACAAGGTGAACTTTAACACAGACATTCACACGGTATATGCATCCTAAAATGTATCTTCTGTTGTTGGATGTTTGTAATTGTTACATGTGAAATTGTCTGTTTTAAGGTTCTCAGAAAGAACCTGGCATTTTGCCACGTGCTTTAGAGGTTGTGTTTAAGCACATTGCTGGCCGCCAGTATGAGCATATGGACCTAAAGCCATATTTGAGCTCAGATGTGCAAAAATTGGACTTTGAGCAACTAAAAGTAGAGAAGAATGCCAAAGCAGCACTATTCAGTTTGCTCAAAGAGGTAAGACTGGTCTGCACATGACATTTTAAGTTTTGGCTTCAATCAGGGGTGTCAAACTCAGTTCCTGGAGGGCCGCAACCCTGCAGAGGTTTGTTCCGACCCTGTACCAACACTCATACCATGTCGTTTTCAAAAAAAAGCCTGAAGGACCTGATTATCTGGATCAGGTGTGTTTAGAGTTGGAGCTGAACTCTGCAGGGATGTGGCCCTCCAGGAGCTGAGTTTGACACCCCTGGCTTAAATAGTCGTACTTTGATATAGTTGCCTGCCGTTTGCTGAAAACTTTCCAGGTTTTTTTTGTGTACTGCTTCTGAAAGTCATTGTTAGATCTTGTGTATATCTCTCTTCTCAGGAGCCTGAACCCACAAAATCCAGTAGAAATAGAAGCTCAA